TCCCTAAGTCGATCAAAAACAGTTTGTTGCACCATATCATTCACTACATCTGCTGCAATCTGTGAGGCTATTACTTTACTTTCTTCAGTAATAGAGTATTGTATTTTATCACTTTGCTCATGCAAAACATTAAAACCTTCTTGTAACATACGAAATAGTTCATTTATTTCGCTCCGTATAGTATGATGATCATTTCTGAGTTTCATCATTTCATCTTTTACAACAACAAGTCTTCCTTGAAATGCCGGCTGCCTAGTCGTGGTGCCAAGCTCCAGTACTTCGAATTGTCGCAGGAAGCCAAGAGCCAGCGACGTTTTTCTTTTTTGAAGACCCGTTGGCCCTTAGGCTACGGCGTTATACAGCACCGGGACCAACCGCATCGTGGTGAGGCAGAAATATAACCAAGAAGGTCCTGGGGCACGTGCCGACGAGCTATCAGCAGTATCATCCGCACCAGGTTGCTGCTGAGTGATGTGGAGGAGAATCCCAGCCCTTCACTGCGAGGTATGCAATGGAACTCAGCTGGACTTATCCAGGCCAAGAGGCTTGCTCTCCACAAAAACCCTTGTTGAGGAGAATGCGTCATTCTGCCTTCTAAGCGAGACGAAACTATCTTGTGCGGAAGTGTCGAGTTTCACAATCGCTTGTAACCAACATCATGGAGTGTCCCACCCCTCTAAAGGAGGCGGTGTTTCGATTCTTGTGCGTGAAGATCTGCCAGTAGAAGTAGGACTCACCGTAGTTGCAAGCATTGGGCATGCCCATTGCAACGATCCACATGTCAGAAAGTCTGGCGCTCACAGTGATGTCAGCATATTCTTCCCTCCGGGGAGATCATTCACAACTTCGCAACTAGACACGCTTTTGACGACAAGCGGACCTCACCCCATTGGTGCAGATGCTAATGCGCATGCAATGGCATGGAATCGCGCGATCCCCCCAGATACCCGTGGCGATGTGCTAGTACAATGGTGCTCAGATAATGATTACGTTATTCATAACGCTGGAGACTGCACTCGCCACACCACACGCCATGGCCCGTCCGCGCCAGATGTGACAATATCCCGAGAATGCCGTCTCGAGTCCTGGACGGCATCCTTCTCCCTGGACAGCGATCATTGCACCATCCCCTTCGACGTAGCAGTAGTAGATGATAATGATGAACCACTGCGGCTCCCTCGCCCTCGTGCACCCATCTATGCATGGAAGAAAGCGAAGTGGTCTCGCTTTAGACAAATGTCAAACGCACAGTGCAATAAACGCCTTAAAGAGAAAATGAGCGTTCACAAGAGAGAACGACTGCTGACCTCCGCCATCCGTATCGCAAAAGCTGCGGGGGTCAAGTCACTACTCCTTTTTGGACCCCAGAATTAGATGAAATCGAAGAGAAGATTCACAATTGTAAACATTCTGTCTCCCGAGAGAGACTAGTAGCTCGTAGAAGAGAAGTGCAAAGACAAACATCCCATAGACGCTGGAAAACCCTCTGTAATAACATGGCCGTGGCAGACGGCTGCTGTTGAAACATTTTGAAGAGGATTTACGCCCCACGACCCCTCATTACCCCGGCGATTAAGCTTAACAACAAGGTACTCACAGAAAATCAGAAAGCCAAGCACTTTATCCGCTTGTATTCACGACGAGCTCAACGTCACCCACATTCCCACCCTCCACCGCCCATTCCAGTCACCGATACAGAATCCATCCCCATTACAGCAGCAGAACTGGAACGGGCACAGCGTCTCCTTCCTAAAGGGACGGCCGCAGGTCCAGATGGTATTTACGGCGAGGCGCTCCAACACTTGGGACCTCGTGCCAAAGCAGAGACTCTTGCCCTCTTCAACGAGAGCCTCCGTACAGGCGTTGTTCCAGTCTCTTGGAAAGTAGACATCATTGTACCACTTCTTAAACCCAGAAAGAAAACCACCGACTTGGATTCATTCAGACCAGTTACCCTCACTAGTTGTCTGTCCAAATTAATGGAGCGGATCATTGCAGCCCGAATAAGAGATGTTACTGAAACCAAGCTGACCCCGCAACAATCTGGATTTAGACCTGTTCACTCGACGTTAGATCAACTATTGCATCTACGCGCAGCCCTCACACGACCCACCCCTGATTCGCGTACAGGTGCAGTATTCGTTTACTACGCCAAAGCTTTCGATACTGTAGACCATGATCGTATAGTTAGTGCGATGCGAGAGATGGAACTCCCACCGCACATCATTCGATGGTCTGCATCTTTCCTTAAGGGGCACCAAGCCAAAATACGAGTAAACAGTAAATCCTCTCCTTTAATGCTTTTCCACTGCGGCGTGCCACAAGGAACAGTCCTCGGCCCACTTATGTTCATTATAGTAATGAACACCCTAAGCAAACGACTATCCCAAGTTCCCTTATTGTTTCATGGTTTTTCGCCGATGATCTCACACTAGCAGTACGACACGTCAACAGAGACATCATAAACAGTACACTGCAACAAGGACTAAACATAGTGGATGAATGGTCCAAAAACTATTTTATGGAAATCAACGTGGACAAGACGAAATACACACTTTTTGGAACCTCAGACCCGCATCCCCTTTCTCTTAAACTACGCGGTATCCCCGTAGGCCCGGAGAAAACACCTGAACTCCTAGGCATCACCTTCCCTAACTACCGAGGCATGTCTACCCATGTGGTTCAAACGAGACAACGCATGAATTTTCGATTACTACAACTTGCAGCAATCTCCTCCACCACATGGGGATCGAAGCGTGATGTCCTTCGAACCTTCTACCTGACACTAGTTCAAGCCCGGACGCTCTACGGCTTTGAGATCTGGTATTGGGATGCGGCTCCCACTTCACGCAGAGTTCTAGATTCAGGTCAAAACAAAGCTTGCCGAACCATAGCAGGTATCCCATATGGGTGTCGCTCCGCCGACGCACTACGTGAAGGCTGTCTTCTCCCATTAGAGATGATGGCCATGATTCGGAGCCTCAAATATTTAATGCGATGCCAAACACGAGGTGGATCTCTCAAAGAAAGCGCAGAACAAGTCTATCACGAAACCCATCCAGTACGAGAATTCTATGTACGCATCATGAAAATCTATCCAACACTCGTTATAGAGCCACGCGAGCCCCCTTTACTGACACCAACTCTACGGTTCGGTAAACGCGCTCGCTTCTTCACATCGCTGGAAAATGTCTCAGCTGATGACCCTGAAGAACGGAAAAAAGAAGCATCCGAGCGTTGGATAGCCCGTCACTTCCGCCGTAAAGGCACAGATCCGCCGCCGCGTACACATTATGAAATCTGGACTGATGGCTCCGTATTTCTCGGAGTAAAATCTGGAGCAGCAGCAATGATATACAAAGATGGTGAACTGCTATGCACCACACATAGAGGCGCTGGCCCCCTAGCCTGCAGCTACACAGCCGAATCCGTAGCGCTATACGAAGGTTTACGGAGACTCCTCAAAATAATTCCCGCAAATAACCCAACACCATGCAGGGTCTCCATTTTTACGGACTCACTGTCTCTTCTCACGGCACTGGAAACAGGCCCACTGACCGTCAAAGACCCTATACTACGGCTCCTGTGGAACCTAATACTTCAAGTGCAACGTCACAAGGCCCGCATACGACTACAATTTATCTTTGGTCACTGCGGTGTAGTAAAAAATGAAAAATGCGATACAGAAGCCAAAAAAGATGCAGAACTACCGCAAAGAACTGATACTTGGATCACAGATATAATAGCCCACGCTAAACGAATACTTAAGGGAGAGGATAAACCCCATCTCTCCCATACATTAAAAATCACGGGATCCCGGGACCCCACCAAAGACAACCCGGAACTTACTAGAGAAGAAGAAACAGCCTTAGCACGTTTTAGCACAGGTGCTTCGCATCGCTATGGCTAGTTGCTGCAAAAGATACAAACCCATATCCCTCCTGGTTGTCGCTGTTGCAACCCCCAAAAAGTCAGTACTTCGACACCCGTTATTCCACCTAGCCAGAAAAGACCGCGCTATGCACTAAACAAAGCAACAGACCCTTCCACCTACACTGAATGNGAATCCGTAGCGCTATACGAAGGTTTACGGAGACTCCTCAAAATAATTCCCGCAAATAACCCAACGCCATGCAGGGTCTCCATTTTCACGGACTCACTGTCTCTTCTCACGGCACTGGAAACAGGCCCACTGACTGTAAAAGACCCTATACTACAGCTCCTGTGGAACCTGATTCTTCAAGTGCAACGTCGCAAGGCCCGCATACAACTACAATTTATCTTTGGTCACTGCGGTGTAGAGAAAAATGAGCAAAGCGACACAGAAGCTAAAAAAGCTGCGGAAATACCTCAAAGAACTGATACTTGGATCACAGATATAATAGCCTACGCCAAACGAATACTTAAGGGTGGGGATACACCCCATCTCTCCCATAGATCAAAAATCACTGGATCCTGGGACCCCACCAAAGACAACCCGGAACTCACCAGAGAGGAAGAAACAGCCTTAGCACGTTTTCACACAGGTGCTTCGCATCGCTATGGCTGGTTGCTGCGAAAGATACAAACCCATATTCCCTCTGGTTGTCGATGGTGTAATCACCAACAAATTAACATGCCAGTACCCACTATTCCACCTGGCCAAAAAAGACCGCGCTATGCACTAAACAAAGCAACCGACCGCACCACCTGCACTGAATGTGGGACACAATACTCATGCAGGAGTGCCGCAGTACAACATATGGTCAACAAACACATGGGTTAAAGAGGGCCGATGCGCTCTGGAAGATCAAATTCCCCCATGAGTCACCTCCGCCGGACATCCCGCCAGAACCTCCGCCACCCCCACAACCCCCACCTCCGGACACAACGTTACCCCGTCCCACTTCGCCCTAGAGCAAAACTCCATCCGTTTGCCTGCAGTATGTGTAAACGAACATTTCCGCTTCAAAATGGATCAACGCGCCACCTTAGATACATGCGCAATGTCACATGCCCTGTCCCAGAGAGAAAACGCCCGCGAGCCGACGAACCGATACCACCAGAAGGATCAGCATTTCCCTATCACAACTGTGATATGGTAGCGCGCTCTAAAACAGGTCTCAAATCCCATATTAGAGCACGGCATCCTGAGAACCACAAAAACGACGCACCTCGCCCTCAGCTCATACCACAGCCTGCTTCACTATGCTGCGAATTATGTCTACGCGACTTTGGCAACATTGGTGGTCTCGCCTGCCACACAGAATTTAAACACCCACCTGGAACTCCAATTCCGCCAACAACGATACAAGCAACGTTTCCGCGCAATAAGAAACGCCAGCGAGATACGTCGCCACCGGAGTGTGAGGACAGAGGGAAAAAGTCCAATGCGGAGTATGCCAGAAGTTCTACGCTCACCTAGACTCCCTCGTAATACACTGCAGAAAATTCCATGAAGGAGAGGGTCTGCCCAAAAAATCGAATTCCACCAATGCACGATACAAAACAACGAAAACGAGAGACCTTCCGGCATTAGTCTGTCCCACGTGTGGCCACCAATGTATGAGTAAGTCAGGCCTAACTCTACACCGAATGCCACGACACGGGTATCAACCCACCCACGCCCACACCAGGCAACGCGACGAATGCGAAGAAACAGCTCTGCACCTCTTGTGTTGCCCCACTCTTCAGCCACTGCGAGTTCAATTTGCGATGGTTGATGATGTACCCCTGATGAAACTATGTTTTTCTAAGCTGTCAGCACAGTTCCTTATTGTGGTGGAGTGGAACTACACTATGCCACAGTCTTCACACCCAAGAGAAACCCTACGCAGCTTACCCCTCCCATCTGTAAGGCCTCCCCACCTCTCTAAAATCAGCGACGGGCTCGAGCATGGAAACCTTGATGGAAGAGTACGCTCAAGACGTCTGTCGCCGACCAAAAACAAGCAACAAAATAAATAGGAATTCATTGAGGCCAATCTATTAAAAAAAATAACAAAAAGGAGACTTGAGGATGGGTTTTGGGTAAGAAAAGTGAGAGTAGAGAGATCTGGTAGGGTTTACTCGATCAGATTTCTCGCAGAGTGGTTTTCTCGTATGGGAACGGGCTACAACAAAAAACATATTACAAGAGCTTGGGCATCCTATAAAATAAAGGGATCATCTTCCTCTTCGGAGCCACTCGAAAGTCGGTAATTAAATTGCTCTACGGTGTACGGTTGATAGCCGTACCATTGGAGTAATATCCATCAAGACAAAAAGAAAAAAAAAAAATCCATGACAATACGGGGTACCATGGGTGGAGGGGTGAAAGGGGATATGTTTGATCATACCCTCCTAATGCACACCATGGAGTAAAGGAAGTATGTGTGATCGATTGTGTGTGGTCGCATTTTTTTTTTTTTTGCTGAAAATGTTGTGGGAGAAGATGAGGCGAATTGGCATTCTGAGGAAAAAAAATAAAATAATAATAATAAGGATAAATAAAGAGGTAATATGTATGTGTGAGAGTAATTGTGTGTTGCCTCTTTTTGTAAAGAGTGGCATGGTATTACAGTGATGTATGCAGTCATTTTTGTTATGGTTGTGAGTGAATGGGTTTTGGATTCCAATTGTGGTGCTGGTATAAATATTATGGTGATGCATTGGTTTCTTTCATCATTTTTCTGTTTGGAAGTGTGTTGATTATTGTACAGTCTCTTTGTTTTGTTGATGACTTGTGGTATTGTTTTTGTGTTTGTTGCCGGGCGTACACTGTGTTTTTGGTGTATTTTGGTGTTCGAACTGCCTGGTAATGATTTTATTGTAATGGGAATACAGACACTGTGTGTGTATGAATACCGAGTAAGATATTGAAGTGTGTGTGTGGAGACGTTTATTCAATATTGTTTTGATACCATTTGTTTTCCACTTCTTCTAAATTCAGGGTGTTGTTTCAATATCTGTGTAACTCTGGGTGTGTTTTATTGTGTGAGTGGTTTACTGTTGTACCCCTCATTGGGTTGTGTTTGATTGCTGTTGTGATGTGTTCTCTCTCTCTCTTTCTTTCTTTCTTTTTGTATTGCTGTGTGCCCACTGCCTTGTGTGTTAAATGTGCGTCTGCTTTTCTCTTTTTCCTCTTCTTCCTTGTTACCACAGATCCAAGCAACTCACAGTGACAATAATGACAACGATGTTCATCCAACTGCGCCGTGTGGTGTACCTGTTGGTACTCCTGCAATGTTGTGTGTGTGTTTATGATGTTGATGGCGCCCCTGGCGATACCGAATACACTGATATGGTAACGAAGCTTAACAGCTCAATAGTGGGAGCAGGAGAAATGCTTTTGAAAGGAGAGTTCTGTTTACCCGAGTGGGAGAAGTACCGAAACGCCTGTGACACGGACGCTGCGCTCGCCAAGAAGAGCGCTGGGGAGCTGAGTGGGATCGTCAAAGACTTGGAAAGGAAAATTGACGAGCACATTCCTGATGTCAAGGGAACCGGTGGGATAAGAGTAAGCGTGACTCTCGAGAAAGTAAAAGAGTTGGGGAAACAGGTGGAAAAAACCAAGCAAAAAACAAACGAGACTCTTGTTGAGGCGGAGAAGGCGCGATTATCAGTTGCTAAGGCGCAGGCGGCACAGGATGGTTGTGCGACCATACGTAATAATATAGAGAGCGCCAGGGCGGACTTAGATCGGATATTGGAGGGTTTTTTGGGGTATATGAGGGACGGGGATTCGGAGGTGAACAAAAGACTCGATAAAGACGGGAGAAACATGAGCGGAAAGATGGTTGCCTATGTGTTGGCGTATGGGCATCGCGTTGGGTGGTCCAAAGGATACATAAAGGCGGCTGAGGAGAAGATTGCTGAAGCGAAGGAGGAGGCCAAGAAAGCAGTTGCGGCACTAAAGAAGATTGACGCACGGTTAGCGGAACAGGAGAGTTTGGCGGAAGAAGCCAGAGAAAAGGGCGGGTTGGTCCAAAAGGCAATCAAGGAGATGAGTGAATCAAAGGAGACGGAGGAGAGGATCGGGAGTCTCACGCACCGGGAGAAAGCAAAGGAAAAAAGAGTGGAGACCGCCAAGGAGGTTGCTAAGGAGATGAAAAAGGCGATTGAAGATAGTATTAAAGAGAAGGAGAAGAGGGACAAAGAGGAACGGGAGAGAAGGGAAAGAGAAGAAAGGGAGAGAAAGGAACGGGAGAGAATTGAAAGAGAAGAAAGGGAGAGAAATGAAAGAGAAGAAAAAGAAAAAAGAGAGAGAGAAGAAAGGGAGAGAAAAGAAAGAGAAGGAAAAGAAAAAAGAGACAGAGAAGAAAGGGAGAGGAGGCTAGCAGAGGAGAAGGCGAAAAGGGACGAAGCAGAAAGGATGGCGCAGGAGAAGGAGGAACTGGAGAAGAAGGCCAAAAAACGCAAGGACGGTGGGGTTGTTTTTACGTTGGCACACGGTCCTTTGGTGATGCTTCTGTTATGTGTGTTGGGTTTCGCACTCGTGTGCTGATCGGTGTTCCCATGACACAGTTGTACAGTCAGCCTTTGTTTGAGTGGATATGGAAGCGTTGTAGGTGCACTGTTCTTTTTATTGGATTTTACTGTTTTTTTTTTCAGTACGATAAATCTCTTGTTTGCATTTTTTACTGAACAAATTTATTGGACTCCCTATGGCATTCATCACATGATAAACCATCGTTTTCTGAGAGGCGTGTCCTCTTTCTTTGATGGCATTATTATCTGTGGTCTGTTTTGCCGCCATTTACTGTGGTCTCCTGGTGATGTGTGTATGCTCCGTGATATTAATAACTATTGCTTTTACCCATGGGAATGGAATACAATCCCAATATGTTTTAATTGCTGTGACTGAAATGTGAAGAATGGCAGGAGGTTCAAGACACACAAACACGCACACTACCAACCCTCCTTCTCTTTGTGTGTGTGTGTGTGGACTGTCATCATGTGTGCATCATTCCCATTGCTCGCCCTGTACGAAAGACACACACACCTACTGCTGGGAATTGTGTTCTTGCCTCCTGAACATATTCACATAGTGATCACGGCTTTCTTTCTTTTTGTTTTGTTTTCATTATGTTGTTTTTCCCTTGTGTGTCATTATAATTTCATTGCACATTATGTGCAGCTGTGTGTTTCTCTCTTTTGCGTTTCCGATACACCCCGTGTGTCTTGTGTGTTCATTTTTATGGAATGATTCTTTTTTTTTCATTATATACAAACTGCTGCACGGACATCAAGAATAAAAAGATATGGGTACAGCACGTTCGGTACACAATGATTTTCCGTTGTTAACCTTGGGGTGAATTGGACGGTGTCCAGGCATAGCAGCCACATTAAGTAATGGATTTCTTTTTGTTTTTACATCTTTGCTCCATTATTGTGTCTGCCTCACGCAGTCACTCTTTTTTTTTGCATTTTTATTTTGGTATAAAGATTGGTGGGTTGTAGGTGTTTGAGTGTGCCCCTCTGTTGTGTGTTCCTTTGTGTGTTTGGGTTACTACCCACACCGCCCACGTAATAAAAACACGTTTCTTTGTTCTCACCTTCGCTCTCGGTGGTGTCACTCACGGCATTGCCGCGAACATATTTCTACCCTTGTGGTGTGTGTTGTTTGTTGTGTGGTTTGCTTGAGTGACTGCAACCTGCGGGGAGATGGACTGAGACTGTTCCGCCTCGGCTTCGCGTAATGGGTCTTGTTTTCTTTTTCTTTTTGGGGGTTGAGTGGATGTGCTGGTGTGGGTGGATGTGTTTCTCTGATGGGAGTGGCAGCTGTGTTTATTGTATTGTGAGTGCACGGTGTGGTGTTGGTATCCCGTTGTTGTTGTTGTTCTTTTCATGTGTGTCTCTTTTTCCTCTCTGTAGGTGTGTGGCTCCGTGTAAATTTTAGGGAATGCCGTAGTGCCTCTCTGATATGAGCATGTGAGACTGTCATTGTGTGTGTGTGTGTGCACTGTGAGTGGGAAGGACACTTTGTGTTGTTGGACCGCTCCACTGCGGCCTCTGTGGGGTTCACTGAATGGCGGCGTGGAGATATCCAACGACATGTGCGTGAGCGACTGGAGTGGGGGTGTGGATCCTTTACGCTAGTCCACTGCCCTGCGGTGCGATTGGGTGCACACATGAATGGAGTAATGAGAATTCCCTCTGTCCCGAGTTACTATCTAGCGAAACGACAGTCAAGGGAACGGACTTGAAGGGCCAAGCGGGGAAAGAAGACCCTGTTGAGTTTGACTCCAGTCTGGCTCTGTGCGGCGGCATCTGGGGTGTAGTATAGGTGGAAGCGCAAGCACAAATGAAATACCACCGCTCGGAACGTTGCTTCACTTATCGAATGAAGGGACCAATGGGTTTCGCGTAGTCTGTGGGCCATGCACCGTCTAGGTTTGGGATTTTATGGCGGCAACCCCGTCTCCACGGGAGGTGGCGCGTGTTCGCAAGGGCATGTGTCCCCGTTTTTCTCCTTTACGGGAGGGCCCGTGGGCACCCAACCGTGCTGACAAACTGAACCAACGGGGTTGCTTCGGCAGCTTCGGAGTCTTGTTTCGAGACATCTGCCAGATATGGGGAGTTTGGCTGGGGCGGCATATCTGTTACACGACAACGCGGGTGTCCTAAGGCGAGCTCAGTGGGAACAGAAATCTCACGTA